TTTATAACATTCACGTACCTGGTCCACTCTGAGCTGGTCAAGAGCGACACGGTAACCTTGAATGGTATTTGCGGACCTCTGAGTCACCGGCGTGCTCCACCAGGTAGAACGTGCAGCAACACCATCTACTGGCCGAGGCGCTTTGTGGGGTCGAAAGGGCAGGAAGTACTCAAAAATACAGGTCTGCAGGAGAGCCAAGCAGCCAGTCAGTCCCTTGGCGTCCCCTCTGCTGGCAATACCTAACTGTCTGTATAGGTATGCTAGTGTAGCCGAGCCCCATGAGAACTCTGAAACTCGAGTCGTGTCCTCGCTCATCTCGTGCATGACCTTCGGACTAATCCTGTTACCATTCTTTTCTGTAAACAAGGTGGTACCCATCGCCATCCACAGCCATGCGGCTGCCTCCTGGTCAGTTGGTCGAGGGTCGTCGAGCCACCTGAATGTGCCCGAAACGGCAGCAATGGTCACCGCGCCGTGATCCCAGTAGATGTCCATCAGCGCTCTATGGTCCACCCCCAGCATCTCCATGCAGTACGCACAGAGTGTCCTAATGTTCGGGTCCCCTGCCACTATACGTCCCTCCATGGGAACCCCCAAAATAGCCCAAACATCGTGCAGCATTATACTCATTTCACCAAAAGGTAGGTGAAACGAGTTAGTATCGGGCTGCCAGCACTCCACGAATACAGAAAGTAGTGGAGTGTCCAGGTACGCATGCATGGAGTCCGACAAATGTGACAGCCCCGACCGATCTACCAAAGCACGTGGCTCGGGACCCATCTCAGCGCGCCACTCGATCAAAGTGGCGCGCGCTGCATGTCTGTTTTGGCATTTCAAATGCCTCTAACACGTCGGTCTGGCTCAGGCAACATCATACGGGAGGCCACGTGCCCTAGAAAGCTAGGGATAACGCTCCCGTCACTGGGGCCACCGGGTACTGGGGCTTTAACGATCCAAGAGTCATCACCCTTAGACCGTTTGCTACTCGAACCTGCATTTACAATACAACAAATAAGTACAGATATATACACGGCATATTGTGACTGACTGTATCAATGATATGCTATTAGTAAATAAAAGTATATGTAACTGACAGTAACAAAATTAAAGTACGTAGAATATTTACCAGAAGAGGATCCAGTGCCCGCAAAACGGCCCCCAGCCTGTCGTGGAGGAGCAGGTCGTACCGGTCGTACAGGGGGAGGAGGAAGTGACGTGGTCTACTCATCTCCAGAGTCAAGCTCCTCGCCCTCATCATCGTCCTGGTCATCGTCCTGCTCATAATCGTGGACCGGACTCTCCACGATCGGTGTGTAAGCCGACGACTGACGAATACGTATCCTCATCGGCATGCTCCCCAAACTGCCAGCCATCGATGAGTTGGGCTGCCCACCGCTCTGGTGACCACTCGGTACCGAAGGAACGATCAGTGCCAATCTCTTAGCCATCTCAGCCTGAGCTAACTGAGCCTCACGGATCCTCGCCTTCCTCATCTGACGAGCGTCCGCATCTACAAACCGACTCTGCGTTTGTCGGGGTCCAGAATCCTCGAACTGAGGAAACTCTTCAAGTCGCTCAGATCCATCACTCTAAATCAACAAACAAATTAAACTAATAATTAATAAATAAGTATTTTTAACATATTTTTATTTATTTTAATAATTATGATAAACAATTTTAAACAATTTTAATAATATTATACAATTTCTAATAATTACTATATTTATATATTAAATCAATTTTAATTATATATTTTAAATATTTTTTTTATTTTTCAAATTTTATATTATTTATTTATAATATTATATTATTTTTACAATTAAATTATTAACATTTAAAATTTAAACTTTTTAATATATTCAATTAACTTTTAACATTTTTTAATTTTTTAAACAAATTAATTATTAACATTAAACAAACAAAAATATTACACTTATTTATTTTATTTTAATCAAACAAAATAATTTTCGAATTTTAATATTTATTTTTATTTTAATAATTTTCGAATTTTTATTTTTATTTTAATATTAAAAATTTTAATTTTTAATATTTTTTTAATATTACAATATTATTATTTGTTTTAATATTTTCACTAATTTTTAAAAATTTTAAACTTTTTAATATTAAATAAAATAAATAAAAATTATTTATTTAAAATTTTTAATATTATTTTCAATTAATTTTAAAATTAAAAAAAAATAAAAAGGCCGCGCGGCCAGCCCAGGCGACATCACCGCCGGCCGGCCGCCATTACAGGCGGCGTAACCGCCGGCCGGCCGAAAATGCCGACGGTTCTAGGCAGGGG